AACCACGAACCCCCGTTCATGCTAGAGTTTCAAACAAAATGAAGCGTCTTTCTCACTGCATCCAGCATAGTTACACAAACAGAGTTACATCTTTCCAGCTTTAAAATGAACACATTGACGTAATCTGCAGCTTTCTGAACACCACAGCCGTAAATCATGCCTGTACCAAGTTCATAACTCGGACTCCCATGTGCCGACATGCAGCGTCATTTCAACAGCACAGATACTCGTGTCACACATAATTTATATCTCTTTAGAAACCTGTTCGGCCACCAAAATGTAGAAGGTGGGGGTTTAAAGAGGAGATGGAGGAATTTATCTCTTTAGAGACCCGTACGGAGCCACCAATATGTAGTGTGTCAAGGTCAGCTTTGCTGTACCTTCACTACTAATTATTTAAATATAACGGTTTCTCTCTTTTTCGAGTTAAATTTCTGCCATGTGACCAAGATAACTGTGAGGATTGTTTGATCAGTGACAAGAGACATTAATTTAACTTTGACCCATCAGAATAAATGAGATCATTTATTTAACAGAATCAAAATTTAACATCAAAACATGTACACATGATTAGCTGATCTGGTTCTGATTAATAAAACTTGGCACGCTTTACTAATAAGACAACAAGACATTTCTGAAGGCATCTAGATTACTGGCAAAATAGAAGAGTTGAAAGGAAGGATTGAAGGAGTTTAAATGGGTGAAGGGAAGTGTCTGTTCGGACCAGGATGGCACGCTTCTTCCAACACCAGCTCAAACCTCCGGTACACTTAGCGCGTCACGACTCGTTACCTTCGCAGGAGATAAATCAGCTCCGGTGTCGGGTCCATTTCAACGCTACCTTCCAGCGTCTCCAGTAAGAGCGGCTGGCCATCGTCAGAAGTCGTGTCGAGTTACTCCTTTCAACAAACACGCTCAGCTCCCTTCGAACTTGGAGGCATTATACCCGGGTGGATTCACAGCCAGTCACTGTGAGTCCGTCAGAGTTTCCACTCAGGAGTGGAAGACTCCATCAAAGACTGAGTTCAACTAGGTAGGCTGCAGAAGACCCAGTAGACTAGACTGGCTAGACTAGACCCAGAAGACCGAGTAGTTCCAGGAAGTGTGGACTTTTAAAGAGTTCTCACTTCCGGTCACTCAGGACTTCCTGATTGGTTGAAACAACCACCAGGGGGTGTGTTTCAATGATGTCAGAGGGTTATTAAAAGTCAAAAAGAGTTCAGGAATGTTTAGGAACGTTTAGTACAGACAGAGAAATGTTATGGCGAAGTGAGACAAAGCAGATGCCAGTGTTTCTCTTTTTACCGTCTGCTAGGTTTAAAAACAATACAGCCCGTTCTAATAACTTGTTTTCTGACTGTCTATGACTTTCGACCGACATGACTAATTCTCATTCAGACAGAAGATCAAAATGCATAATTACTTTGTAAATAGACATTTAACTTGATTTCTAATTTAAATGAGGATTTAAAAAAAAAAAAATTAATACTGTTTCAGTTGATTTAAAATGAGTGGTTCACTTCAACATTTAGAAATGGTATGAACTAAACACACTTTGATTATCAAGATATTAAAAAATAGTAATGATAATATAAAAAAAGAGTGTTCTTTCAATTGATTACTTCAGGATACAATTAGACAGTCTCTGGATGAGCTAATTTGTATTTCTGGATTAAAATCAATGAAATAACAGTTCCTGTCCCATGAAGGTCTTCAGAGGCAGGTTTTGGTCGGAGGCAGAGTTCACTACACTCTTGATACCCCATCCGAGCCTCTTCTGACGGTACATGTGATCAATCAGCGTATGCCCAGTTTTAGCACCTCCATTAGTATTTTCACTATCATTATAGGTGTGCACTCGCCCACCAATTCAGGAACTCCAATAATCCTAATATTGTCACATTTCATATTTTCCTCCAAGGATTCAAGCTATTTTTTCATCCCATTGATTTCAGATTTTACTTCCGCCACCGCGCCACATACATGTGGAACTGGAATCTCTTTCATCCAATCATGAAGACAGACCATTCTCAGTCTCTGAAACACTTATTAACTTGGTCACACTCCATAATCAGGCCTGTGGTGGCATTAGCAAGTTCCGCTCGGACAGCCTGCAATTCGCACTTAATAAAATTAAAATCATCCGTCAGAGGTGCTCTTATCTCCATCCTAATTATCACTATGACTTCAGATTTAATTGAGGCCAGAATGTCTGACCACAGAGCCAACTTGTCCGTCCCTCCAGAGCCAGGCAAAGGTGGGGCCAATGCACATGCTTCACCTGCTTCTCCATCATGGGGGCCCGAGGCTGCAGCTGTGACAAAAGACCACACGGGGGAAGACACCACTGCCTTCGACTTTTTTTGCTTAGAGGCCATATCACAGGTCTGTTGAGTCAGTTATGCAGCTGCACCAGTCTCGGAGACAAAATCTAGCGGAAGGTAGCGAGGATATGATTATAAAAAGCAATTTTTCAGCTGGGCCAAAGGGAGCTCAGCAAAACGCAGTTCACGGGTCTGCCACCATGTTGGTTTCCTACCCGAGACATTTTTAATGTATCTGGCAACCCTGAGGGCTCAGCTTCATTCATTGCACATGCAGCGTCTGCATGATCATAGTTATGTCCAAACTGGTGAATACACTAACGTCTCTTTGGACACTGGATTTTATTAGTTTGCTCCTACATCCTGAAAAAGGGAGAGTAGTACAAAAACACTCTGCTCTATGCCATTTATTATAACTGTTGTTAGTGCAGAAAACTTTGGAATACAGCCACCTGTAGTGTGCATGTGCCACTTTACACTTGCGGAGCACCCCCCCCCCCCCCCCAAAAAAAAATCTCTACTCTGAGACCTGTAATTCATAAACCTTCAGTTTCAGAGAGAATGAGGGCTGTTGTCGTGTAAATGAACGGCCTAACGTTTCACATCGTGCAAACGAGGCCTCAGACTGGCTACCCTGTATTTCAGTCAAGTGACAAATTCCCAAGTGAGGATGGATGATAGGCTGACATCTATTTTTTATTTTTTTTTATGCCATGCCATGCCATTTATCCATAATACATTTGAGATCAACTAGTAGATCGACGTATTGGGCACCCCTGGTTTAGATAGTATCTTCATGGCCGTTGGGAAAATGCAGTTAAATAAAACGTGAACCACTTGTAGATGGCAGCAGTGATTACCTGTAGCTAACATCTCATTCACTCTGCCTGCCTGAAACAGCTGCATCGTGATGGTTTGATGCAAACAAATGTTCTGTTATTCTAACATCGGCACATCAGCAGGTCTAAACACTGATAATAAATAGTTTATGGCAGTTTAACAGTCCGCTGGGGGAAAAAAGGTGTGAAAGGATATGTGATGAGGTAGCGGGCCAGCCTCTTTCGTTCAGATGCAGGTATGTTGTAGAAAAAAACTCTAACTCCCTTCATGAAACTGGGGAGTTCTGCAGAGCTGAAAGATAGGGGTGGAGCCGAAGGGCCCGGGACCTCTGTCTCATCAGCTGGCTTGTCTGAGCCATGCGCTGCTGCTTCAGGGGTGCTAGCTGAGGTTGCAGGGGCCTGTGGTGTAGATGGCTTCTTAGCAGCTCTGCTGTGATAGTATCTGCCAGTTGGGTTAAGTGAAATTACTCCAATGAACACAATGACTTTAAAACGGTGGCAATGTTGAAGGATTTCTCCAGTTTTAGCTTCTCTCCATTGGCTTCCTGTCAAATTCAGAATATAATTTTAAATCTTACTTCTAACCTACACAGCTCAACAATTTAGCTTCATCTTATATCACAGATTTTATTGTTCCACACTTTCCTAACAGAGCACTTCGCTCTCAGACTGCAGGCTAACTTGCAGTTCCTAGAGTTTCCAAAAGCAGAACGGGAGGCAGAGCTTTCAGTTATCAGGCTCCTCTCTTGTGGAACCAACTTCCAGTTGCTGTCCGTGAGGCTGACACATTGTACAGTTTTAAGACTGGGCTTAAGACTTTACTTTTTGATAAATCTTATAGTTAGGATTGACACAATCCTCATGTTTTAGACCCATTTGCAGGCAGGCGAGCGAGGCAGGAGTTTAAAATAAAAATTATTTATTTTAAACAACAAAACAAAAACAGCTGACGAGGCAGCAAAAACTTACTAACGGGATCAGGCAGACAAAACAGGACGGGTACAGATTCAGACGGCTCACAGGAACAGGGGAGGACTGAGTCGTCTGTGCATAAACAGAACAATGACCAGACGCTGGAGTAGTGAAGAGAAGAGGTTTAAGAAAGTCTGAGATAGAGAGGGATGATGAGTGCACCTGCGATAATACTAATTGCTAACTGGTGTGGATGATTAAGACTGGACAGACAGACTGAGGAGTGAGTGGAGAGTGGCAGAAAACATAGTCAAAAACAACAAGGAACAGAATGAAAAAGTATAATGATAAACGGAAAAAACAAACAAATATACAGAAAACAGACAGGGAATGATCCTGTCAAGGGTCGGCTTGAGTTTCCTGAGCTGTCCCTTAGTTATGCTGCTATAGGCTTAGAATGCTGGAGGACAAACTGACCACAATTTTCACTCTGTACTGTCTTTACTTGCTCTATTCTGTTTTGTATTTCTACCCATTTTGTATTTGTAATTATTTCTCTCCTTGACATGTGTTGTTTGTCTTTCTTCCAATAGGAGGTACACCTGCACCTACATCTGGACCTGCCATTCTGTGTTTGTTTGTTTCTTCTTGTCCTATCAAACCCAGGTGGTCAAAGCAGATGGCCGCTTGTCTGGAGCCTGGTTCTGCTGGAGGTTTTTTCCTTATAAAAGGGAGTTTTTCTTTCCACTGTTGCCATTGTGCTTGCACAGGATGGGAGACTGTGACAAAATGAAGATTCAACGTGTCTGCTGGCTTCCTTCTTTAGATAGATAACTTTTACTAAATGGCTTTTATAATGTATGTGAATGTTTTTGTTCAGTGCCCTGAGATGACTTTGTTGTGATTTGGCGTTACATAAATAAACTGAATTGAAATTGAAATTGGATACATGAAGGTGGGGACACCTCTGGAAGCTAGGTGTTTCCTGATAAGCCTCTCAGTGCCGTACCAGTTGAAACCTTTGGTAGAGTGGCCGATCCGAGGAAGATGAACACTGGCTTTGTTAGGGGACAAAGCAAAGGCAGGACAAATTGTGATAAAAGTTGCATCATTGAAAAGTTTTCTCTGAACATGAAAACATGTGACATTAAATAAGTGGTTCATTTTAATACTAAGTGCTCAAACCAGTTCATTAGCTTTGCAAAAAAATAGCAATAATTATACCCTTGCTTCTCTTGGCTGCAGTATAAATCTTGTTCAGTCCTTTATCCAAAGCACTCAAGAGGATCCCAGACAGGTTATTGGACTTGTCTCTTTGTTGTGCCACTATCAGGGCTAACTGAGGTGACAGCAAGAAGATTAAAGACATTAGTTGATCATTGCTGCAGTTTTCTCAACTGTTGCTCAGCCACAAATGAGCAATGCTCCAACCACGCTTAAACCTAACTCAAATGTATCACACTACTAATGCAAAGACTGGGCTCATAGAAAATATGCACGTGTGCACATGCATTAGTGTTTCAACGAAGCAGAACCTACTCGATCTTGGCCATCCAACTGGGACTGCTTGTCATCCATCGGGAAGAGAAGCACATTTCCAAGCTCCAAATCTGAAACAAACATACACATTTTCCTTTTAGTTTATATTAGATGTTACAGATGAAGCAGCCTGATGAATGCTTGTTCGTTTTTCTTTGTCGTCATAGTTACCTTTCATCTTTCCTGCCAACTCATACTGCTTTCGTGGTTCATCTGATCTCGCCTCCAGTGCTGTAAATAGGCCTCCTCTGCCCCACAAACCTGAGTCATCTGCACAGAAATGATTTTCTTTCATATATGGAACATGCAGTGACAGACGTGTGCAGGATGCTAAAATTTTCTTTATCAGTAGATCAAGTAGTTAATTAATGTGGTTACATAGAGCACTTACCAACACAGTGGACGATGATAGCATTTCCCTTAGCAGCATGTGGATGAGTAACATCTCCCAGAATGTAGCAGATATCCATAAAGTCTGTGGAGCACATACTGCTGTCATCTTCCTCATCTTCTTCACTGTCCACAGCCTGTAGACAAAGTGATTTGTAGCCACAGGACTCCCACCATGCAATTCTAAAAAAAAACAAACAAAAAAAAACTTTTTTGTCAAATACCAGTATATTTGACCTCACACGAACAGAGTTATAAAATCTAAATTGTACTTTTTCTTTTGCTTTTGCTCCTGTTGGTGCTTCTTCATGTTCTCCTGTAGTTTGGCTCTCTTGGCTGCAGCCTCTTCTCTTCTCTGATGTCGGTGCTCAAGCTCTGCCTCAGAGAGAGATTTCCTCTTCCTCTCTGGGATTCCAAGTACTACTGAAAGTGAAACCTAAAACACACACAAAAAATTACTTTTTCAGGGGTGTTACTAAATACATTTTTTTAATAAATGATTTAGAATGTTCCTTGATTTTCATTGCAGGAAGTATGACCCCATGATGTTGCTTTGTCTCACCAACCCATTTATTAAAGATTTAATTTACATTAAATATCCATTCTTGCACTTCAGGCCTTTCCAGTCTTCCATTTTTTATATTAAGTTACCAAATATAAAACAAAGGGATGCATTTAGATCACTAAATATAATGATTTGATTAACACCTCTAAATACATGGAGCTCTATCAAGTATACTAAACATAATGTGGCATTTTTTTGGAGGTACAGTGTATACCTGAGATTTTTTTCCATTTACCCATAAACATTCCTTCAATTCTGAAACATTTTAAAGAGAGTTTGGTGGAAAGTTCTGAAAATTAAGACCAAAATGGACTGATGCTGTCTTAGGCCCTATTTACAAGGACACGATGGGGGGAAATGTATTTTTTTTTCATATGTTAATTAGAGGAAAAGATCCGCGTTGACATGGACGGATTTTGTTTACATGCATCCGAAGAAATCCCCCCCCCCCGCCCTTCTGAATCCGCTGTAGTTACCATGCCAGGTCATTAGATGGCGCTGTGAATTTTGTACCTTCACCTAATGCGCATGCGTGCTACCTTTGCACGCTCCTTTCCTGTGAACTAAAAAGCTCAGCTAACTATTTAACAACAAAAAGCTGGATTTTGGCTGGAATGTGGATAAGAGTCGACAGATTTGACGCCAAGTGGGACCGCATCATCTAACAGCTCCACACCGGTCGCTAAGTGGATCAGAACCGAGTCGACGATGTCGGACTTTACTCCGTGATAATCAGTAGCTGATTTACTGCAGGTAAATCAACGTTCTTAATAGGGCTGCAACAATGAATCGATAAAATCGATGATTAAAAGCGTTTGCAACGAATTTCATTATTCATTCGTTGTGTCGTGCGATTATTCGTCTTTCACGGCGCTGCGGAGCAGTTTTGTTCACCTGCAGTTCATTGTCAATGCTGACTGACTGAATAAAGTTTGAAAAAAAAAAAAAAAAACTCTGCAGCGCGAGTTGAACAGAGCGAGGTGGAAGCAGAGCAGAGGCGGTTTTCAAAGGAAAATAAGTAAATTTTACAAATGACCAACGCAGCGAAAACTGTTCGACCCAAGTCCTCCAAAGTGTAGGAGCTCTTCACAAAGATACAAACTTAAACATGCCGCTTTGAAAATTTACGACACAACATGGGAGAACCACAGAGATGAAACGTAAACATGTCGGAGTCACGAGGAGGAGGAAGGAGCTGTAACTGATACAATATGTTTCACTCCCAACTCGTGTTGCAGGTGAGTCTCTACAATTTAACACTTTGTTCTGTTTCTAAGAGAGAAAACGTAACGTCAGTCTGTCTGGTAGATGAAGCTGCTGCTTGTTTGTTTATCTGATTAATGACGGTGATAGAGAACGTGTGTTACTTTTAATTTAATTTAATTGGTACAAGCAGTGTTTAAATGTGATTTATAAATAAATCAAGATAATAAACAAAGATAATAATTTAATGATTAAGCTTCAACTTTTAATTTCAATCAACCTTTATTTCTACAGGTAAATCCCATTGAGCCTCGAGGACTCATTAACAAGAGAGACCTGATTTCAACAAAGAAAGATGACAACAATGGACAACAGTAACAACAATAAACAGTTATAAAAAGTCATACTGCAGTTTTTTTTTTTTTTTTTTTTTTTAACAAATAGTTTGGCTAAAAGGAAAAGGTAACAAAACAAACAAAAAAAAACCCAGCTAGATTCCAAGACAAATGTAGAAAGCTAAAAACAGGAACATGTCAGCATTGGACCCTGCCAGGTGTCCAACAGATTCTTAAAGACACTTAGAGAGGTCAAGGTTGAGAGCTTCAAATCAATTTCAAATTTACAAGGTAATCAAGTAATCAATTTGCTGGTAAAGTCTGAAGATACTGCAGGTATGGCAGGATGAACTGCATTTAAACAGGAATTAAAGTAATTTATTACATCTACTCAAATGTGTGTAATTAAGAATTTCATATGTGTGTGTGTGTGTGTGTTGCTACTTTTGCCTGAACCTAACACTGTAAGTGAAACAAGGCATTTCTTGAGTTGCTGTAAATTATGCTATAAAACATATTTACTGTCTCATTCCAGAAAACAACAACAAACAACAACATCCTTCATGATGGAAAGACATCATGGACACCACAGCAGCAGCTGTCTTCACTGAAACATCCTGAACATGATCATCACTGACATGAGGCCTCTGTCCATGGTTGAAGATAAAGGCTTCACTATAACGATCCACACTTTTAATCCAGGTTACAATAATCCACACTTTTAATCCAGGTTACGCTCTTCCCTCAAGGACACATTTTACAAAGTAGCTACATGTTGTGCAGGTATACATTTGTATATATTTTTGTGTACATTTATTTTTTTAAGCTATTTGACTAACTTTTATTTTTTATTAATCAATATTTTACTAACAGAATAGTTAAATAGCTACCTGTTTTTTGTGCAAATTGCTATGTCAGTCAAATGTTAAAATTTTGGAATAAAGGGGTGGAAATTACAACTTTTTTTTTGCCGATTCATCAATTAATTGAAAAAATAATTGGTCGATGAATCAATTATTGAAATAATCGTTAGTTGCAGCCCTAGTTTTTAATAATGTTAGCTTGTGTTTACTTAGGTTACAAAACAACTAACTGAGTTTTTATTTTTCCTGAAAGAAGAAGGAGCTGTCCTTCCACCAGGCGGACCGGTTCTGAATGAGGCTCGGCCAAGATGCAGTACAGGAGGATGTTGAAGACAGAGAGATGTTGGATGAAATATTTGTTTAAAATTCCCCTCAGTTCTTTTATTCAATCCATTCAATGTTTTAAGCTGCATTAATCAAAGGAGTGACAGCCTGAACGAGCCAGATGGACAACGTGGGACTTCCATATCGGATGAACACAAGAGTCCTGTTCATTAATGTAGTTTACAGTTAACGTGTTTTAATAGGGTGTTCAGTTTAATTATCAGTATTTGTGTGACATACAGTTTGTGGTGTGCACGTGCCTCGTTCTATAAACAGTGATATTAGAACTGGATCAGACTGTGTCTCTTCCAACACAGATGTTGGTCACAGCAATGATCAACTAATGTCTTTAATCTTCTTTCTGTCACCTCAGTTAGACCTGATAGTGGCACAACAAAGAAACAAGTCCAATAACCTGTCTGGGTAGGGTCGCGGGGGTAGCAGCTAAAGTAGGGAGGCCCAGACTTCCCTCTCCCCAGCCACTTGGGCCAGCTCCTCCGGGGGAATCCCGAGGCGTTCCCAGGCCAGCTGAGAAACATAGTCCCTCCAGCATGTCCTGGGCCTTCCTCTGGGTCTCCTCCCAGTGGGACGTGTCCAGAAGACCTCACCAGGGAGGCGTCCAGGAGGCATCCTAATCAGGTGCCCGAGCCACCTCAACTGGCTCCTCTTGGTGTGGAGAAGCAGCGGCTCTACTCTGAGTCCCTCCCGGATGATCGAGCTTCTCACCCTATCTCTAAGGGAGAGCCCAGACACCCTGCGGAGAAAACTCATTTTGGCCGCTTGTATCCAAGATCTCGTTCTTTCGGTCACAACCCAAAGCTCATGACCATAGATGAGGGTAGGAACGTAGATCGATCGGTAAATTGAGAGCTGCGCCTTTTGACTCAGCTCTCTCTTCACCACAACAGACCTGTACAGCGCCCACTTCACTGCAGATGCTGCATCTATCTGCCTATCGATCTCACGCTCTATTTTTCCCTCATTCCTGAACAAGACCCCAAGATACTTGAACTCCTCCACTTGGGGCAGGACCTCCACCCTGACCCGGAGAGGGCACTTTACCCTTTTCCGGCTCAAGACCATGGCCTCGGATTTGGAGGAACTGATTTTCATCCCGGCTGTGTTGCACTCGGCTGCGAACCGCTCCAGCAAAAGCTGCAGATCACGATCTGATGAAGCCAATAGTACAACATCATCTGCAAAAAGCAGACACGCGATCCTAAGACCACCAAAACGGATTCCCTCAACACCTTGGCTGTGCCTAGAAATTCTGTCCATAAAAGTTATGAACAGAATTGGTGACAAAGGGCAACCTTGGCGGAGTTGAACTCTCATCGGGAATGAGCCCGACTTACTGCCGACAATGCGGACCAAGCTCTGACACCAGTCATATAGGGACCTAACAGCCTGTATCAAAGGGCCTGGTACCCCATACGCCCAGAGTACCCCCCACAGGGTTCTCCGAGGGATGTGGTCGAACACCTTCTCCAAGTCCACAAAGCACATGTAGACAAGTTGGGCAAACTCCCACACACCCTCCAGGATCCTGCTGAGAGTGTCGAGCTGGTCCAGTGTTTCACGACCAGGACAAAAACCGCACTGCTCCTCCTGAATCCGAGGTTCGACTATCCGACGGACCCTCCTCTCCAGAACCTCCGAATAGACCTTACCAGGGAGGCTTAAGAGCGTGATCTCCCTGTAGTTGGAACACATTCTACGGCCCCCCTTTTTGAATAGAGGGACCACCACCCTGGTCTGCCAATCCAGGGGAACTTCCCCCGATGTCCACGCAATATTGTAGAGTCGCGTAAGCCAACACAACCCTACAACATCCAGAGCCTTAAGGAACTCCGGGCAAATCTCATCCACCTCTGGGGCCCTGCCACCGAGGAGCTTTTTAACCACCTCGGTGACCTCAGCACCAGAGATTGGAGGACCTGACCCAGAGTCCCCAGGTGCCGCTTTCCTCAGTGGAAGACGTGCCGGTGGGATTGAGGATGTCTTCAAAGTATTCCGCCCACCAACCCACGGCATCCCGAGTTGAGGTCAGCAGCACACCACATCACATCATCACCACACCAAAGTGTCCTTGCTTGCAGAGGAACCCAGTGCCTCATGGGAG